TGACATACCACACCAGTGTGGTTAGTATCCAGAGTCTGAAGATTGCGTTCGTAGACCATTAAAATTTGCAGACCAAGGAAGTAACCAGATTGAGTCAAACACCAGAAACTACCGTAACGACTAAGTTCGAGACCAAACGTATATCAGATGCAGTCGGAAACAGAACATCTACTAAGTGCATGGAAATCAGCGCGGGCGATCAGGTCAGTTTTCCCCAAGATTGACTTGAATTCGACGGTAGCAACAGGGCGACGGTCGATAACGTGGACTCAGGATAAACAAATGAAAGTAAAAGAGAAAGGTTTCGCAAGCATGTAGTTTGAGAATCAGGTCCTATATCGTATCCGTTGTTGATTGAGGGATTATTTGTGAAAGCCTACAGGTAGACATACGCGGCAACTGGAACCTGAGAGGGTAGTGTCGTACGTACCTGCAATCTCATCTGAAGTCAACAACGGTGTGGTCTGCTGGTCTGGACGTGAGACTTTAATCTCATCCGTGGATGGTGCAGATGACTCGTGCTGTCAACTGAGACGTTACGAGAGGTCACGTGAAAAGATCCTTCGTAAGGCTTTGTAAAGATTTGCGTACCGAAATTACTCCTATGAAAACATATGGACCGGTGTATAACTTTCGAAGAAGAGCAACCTTTCGATGTTATATCCGAGTTCATATCGGGAGCAACCTTTCACCAAGAAGATAAATCTATTCATGGTGAAGAATTTGTTGGCGATTTCGTGAGGTTGCAAGAACACCGAAATCAAACTAGAAAAGAGGGCGAGAATACATAGCTATTTGAGAAAATAATTAGAAAGTTTGCGTGTGAAGAGCGATGCATTTAAAAAGCACAGTTAAACAACCACTGGTTATAATAATGAATGTTACTGTTGAACTATTCGCGTTTTCTTCAAAAAAGTGGCTTTACTAGAGTGGTATCGAAATAATACCATAATCGAACCGGAGAGAGGGAAGTAAAGAGTAGCAGAAGACAGATGACGGAGGCTTGGAAGCAAAATGTGGCACAAAATAATAATAATACTAATCATAAATTCTCAAATAACAACATGTTACGAGAGAAATGCCAATATGAAGTTGGCACGAGACATAGTCGGCATAAGACATATCAACTAAAATTTCTGTCTAAGATAAGAAGATAATTATTTGTAATAAAATTTTAGGAAAATTTGAATGGTATGAGGAGCACCTCAAAGGCGCGACCTACTATTGTTGGTAAGAGTAGAGGAATTCATCCATCACAACCTGCATCACTTATGGCGTCGGCAAGATATCAGTTTGCTGACTAAAGGACGAGTGTATTGCACAGTAGTTTGCTCCGTCCTACTATATGACTGTGAAACATGGCCAGTGAGAGTAGAAGATATTCGTAGGTTACTGGTTTTCTATTATAGGTGTCTTCGAAGGATTGCTCGTGTATAATGGGACAGCCGAGTAAGCAATGCTGCCGTTAGGAAATGAGTGGTAAGTAAGAATGGTAGATCCATAGATAAAGTGTTGAAACTTCACCAGTTGAGGTGGTTGGGACATGAGTTACAAATGCCCAACCACCGACTGCCTCGACGAGCTATGTTTTGCACTGTAGGAGTGGGCTGGGAGAAAGCTAGGGGCGACCAGACCAAAAAATGGCAGATATCCATGAAGTCACTGAAAAGTGGACTGATTCATGTTGGTAAGTGTTGACTACCGGATCGGAGTGCGAATATATAAGGAGTTCAGTAAAACAGGAAATGGTACAATCGGTTATAATATTCAGTCATTCTATTGAACCAGTCGCGCTTTCTTCATATAAGTGGAGTCGTCACAAGTTGTTGTACGTAGTTCACTATCTCATCTGGAACAGTTTTACGTCACATGAATTACTCTCCTAGTAGATGTGGAGTAGTTCCATGAAGCAATTCTGTAGGGAAACATCCTTTATTTTCTTTAAAAGTGATCTTAAACTACACATGAATAATGGTGGTGGTTGGTCAAGCGTCATCAACCTGACTTAATCTGTCTTTTCATAACAATTCGAACGACCATTGATAAGACATACTCAACAAATGTCTTGTTAAGCTAAAATGATTGACAGCACCTCGAGTAAACGAATTACCATGTCCTACATGGGTGTGATATGAGTTTATTATCATGGAACGGTTGTTCGACTGAGCGTTTTGTTGGTGACAGGAGTTAGAAGGGGATACATTAGAATAAGTTACTGAAGCTTGGTGTGTTACATGTATAGCTTCGTCTGCTTCTTTTCTTGATACTTTGTTGATCATTTTCATCATGTTCAGCCTTTGTGTTTTCATAGTAAAGTTGATGTGGTGTTGACCGTTTGTTGCAGTTATTTATTAAATGAGTATTCTTTGCATAGTCAGTGAATATTGTGGATGCTTGATCTCATTCTTTGTCTTTTTGCTGTGCAGTACTGGGATGTTTAAGACTTGCATGGTATTTTTAGATGTTTTGAATCTGAGTATTACTGAGTGTAGCTGGTGTTATTTCTGTGTTGTGTGCTTCGTATTTATATTTCATGTTTTGAGAGTCATTAATGTTTGGTAAATTAGTTGTTGATTTATGAGTGTCACCAGGGAGTATTGCTCAATTTGCAACTACTCTCGTTCTCAGTCATGTAGTAGGCTACATAAGGAAGTGGAAAGCTTTGATTGATTATTCAATAAATAGCCCATAGGTGAATTTTGAAGGAGTTTGTTTTATTGTATTATTTTATATTGATGTGTTGAGTGTGACCAAAATAAGTAAAATAGCAATTAAGTAAGATTCTGTTTTTGACTGTCTGATGTCACTGAGTGCCAGAGTATTTGTAGGTAGTTTTATTTTGGTCACAGTACCTTTTGCATTATTGATCTCTGAATTTAATTAGATTATATTCTTGTTCCCGAAACATTAGGATTTCATTTTGTATAGTTTTGCAGGTTTGTTCGTCAATGTTGATACTGCCGTGTCGAAGAGGCATCTACAGATTCATCGGTCCACGCCATCAAATGCATTCTCGTATTCAATGTACTTGGTTTGTAGTGGTAAATTCCATCTAACTGATTGTTCCACATTGATCATTGTTGTTGCTATTTAGTTGATAGATGACTAGTCCTAACGTAATCAAGACGGTGGAATATAACGCGAAAGGGTTGATAGATGCTAAAAATGTAAAGTTTTGCGTATTTTCTGGCATATTAGTAATAATGACTTTTATATTAACCATTAGCGAAGCGAAACAACGAATTAAACTATCAGATGAAATGAAAAGCGATCGGAACTTAAATCTCTCTCTCTCTCTCTCTCTCTCTATATATATATATATATATATATATATATATATATATGTATATATATATATATCATCTGGTAAAGAGAAAATGACCTTATCATTTGATTGGAACACCATTTTCGTACAAAAACTTTAAAGATTTTATGTAGAAAAACGAAGACGATAAATAACAAGCAGGTACTGAGTATTAAACTACAAATATATTGATTTTTTTTATCTTGAGAAGTAAATCACATCAGAATTTCAATGAACATTTTAAATTACTTACGAAAATACATTAGTCTAATTAGTATGTGAACAGATGTGTATAGCAATATATGATAGATTCTTATGTAGATAAACAGTTATGTATAGACAGTAAGCATCGGATAATCATAGAATAATGAAGTCAGCATTAATTCCGCATTACTCTTGACACGATCATTAAAAGTGTATCGATCATCGAAATGCTCAATCTTTTCTCAGAAATTCAAATATTCATTGGTTTCATCCATCAAGTACTTTACCGAAATTTAGATGATTTTGATGGCATTCGGATCATTTTCAAAGATCATTGACATTGCAGTGTGATGTTAGTTTCAAGATCGTATAAATAAGTTTATCTGTGTTTTAGTATTCAGTCAATCTTCACTGATGTGTATACATACGGTTCCACATATTCAGATGCTGCAATATTTTTGCACACATTTTCAAAGAATACTTAGTTTAGTTTGTATTGCAAAAATTTAACAATATAACCAAAAGAATTTTAAAAGTTCACTGAAATTCTCATGTGATTTTCTTCTTAAGATAATACAAGTCAATACATTTGTATTTGAATAATCAGTCTATTTTACTGTTCTCTTTACATAAGATTCTGCATATTTAAAGATTATAATAATTTCAATCACATTTCCAAGAAATACTTATTCTCTTACGCCTGTTACCCTTGATGGGGAATAAGCCGTCGATTCTTACGTAGACAATCCTTTTTTTTAAATTATTTTGTGATTGATAACTCTCGCGGCTACTGATTTTTCAGTGTCATACTCTTAATACTAGCAAACATCTGGAATCGTACCGAAAGAAAAAAATCAAGCGCAGAGAAATCAATTGGTTTATACTAGCTCATGAAAAAAATATTGGATATTGGAAATGCTTTCTCATGGTGAAGGCAGTTAATGTGAAGGTAACAAAACTTGCTTTTCGTACAAGCACGATCTAACAAATCAATACATCATAAGAATGGTTTACGATTTTTAATTTCTTCTCAGTAACTCCATAGTGTCAAATTAGCAGGCCATACTGACCTCTTCAGTTGTTGATGGGCCAGTATTGAAACAGGGGTCCGTTGGTGCTCTCTTCACCTATTTCGCTGTTGTTTTATGCTGGTGATTCTAGGTCTCTAACCATTGTTGACTTTCGTCTCGCCGAACCCAACCAAGTAGACTGCGTTTACCAACATGACTCAGTCCACTTGACAGTGACTTCATGGGTTCTTGCCATGCTTTGGTTTGGTCGCCCCTAGCTTTCTTCCAACTTATTCCGACACCACAAAAGATAGCTCGTCGAGGTATTCGGTGGTTGGACATTCGTACCGCATGTCCCAACCACCTCAACTGATGAACAGTAATCTTCTATATAATAAGCATTAATAGTGATCAATCATAATACAATCAAAAAAGAGATGTTATTTGTAAAGAATACTTCATTTTATTTATTGTTTTTGTATGTTTTACATAAAATACATAATAACTACGTTTCAAAAAAAAAATTCTACATATTGAAAATTGTCAAAGTACAGATATTTTCTTGTTGTTTTATTTTGTAAGTACACAACAAAAAAGAAAGTAGCAAGCGAAAAAAAGAATAAACGATCAATGAGAAGGATCAAAAGGAGAGAGAGAGAGAGAGAGAAAGAATGGAAAGAAGAATTAAAAACAAAACAAAAACAAATTAACTAGAAATTTTTGTGTATATGGTTCTTCAATTAATGAATGATTTTTCTTTCTTTCTTGCCTATTTATTTTTTTCATTCTCTTGTACAGCTTTCACACATTTAGCCATAGTTTGAGAAGCTCGACTTATACAATCAGTAATATAATAATCTTTTAATGTTAATAAGCTAAGTTTAATTGGTTCATTCATGAATTGAGTTTTTTGAGTTGAACTCTGTTGTGATGGATAATAAAATAAAATTGAGAGAAAAAAATAGGCAAAATAAGAGGATTATTCTTAAAGAGCATTATAATCGATTATTTATGATTACACGATTGTGGAGATGAGTGAATTTCATTGAAGTCATGAATAGATCAGTGTTGGACCGTCATTAGAAAGCTGCTAACACTGGATGGGTGTTTCGTCTTTGTATGGGACTCATCAGCTGTATGTAAATACGACCACTGAACGCAGAAATCGACATCAGAACTTATGAGTCTCTCGCGCGAACACTTAATCTCTAGTGACTTCTAGTGGGAAATCGTGACTAGTGGAGTTCAACACAGTCAGGTGTGAATCAGTGCCCATCGAAGACATCCAGCTGAGAGAGCGAAACTCCACCACAATGGATGAGGTAGCGCATGACGGTGCATTGATTAAATTGAGAGACTACCGCAGTTGGATGTCCACTTAGTGTTCGTTCGCGAGACTCGAAGGTCATTGTCTCGATTTCTACACGCAGGCGATGTGCACTGTTGAAGAGTCGTATACTACGGCGAAACTGCCGTTCAGTGCTTCCAGATTTCTAATGGTGGTCTAACACTGATCACAACCCTATAATTATGCCATTTATTAATCAAGAAAACAATGAATCAGTTTGTAGGAGCAAAATCAACTTTTAATTATTCATTAGAGTTCAATATATAAGCTATTAGCTATTAAATTTCAATGAATTCACCATAACATTAATATCTTTTGATAGTTTTTAAGCGAAAAAAAATTAGTTTTCTGCTTCAAAATTGACTTTGCAATTGTTCAATCTATTTAATTTCATTTTAATAGTTACGACAGAGTCTCTATTATCAAGTTATTCTTTATAAAAATTTAATTTTGGAGTAACGAAGGTTTTAAAACGAGACAAAAAGAAATGTAAGTCTACTACGAAAGCTAGGTGTTATTGAGTTTAGTTTAAAATAGATCAAATTCTTAGAAAAAACACTATAGCTACTTATATGATACATAAGTAGTATTTGCGTAAATGACGTTCGATGGATACATAAAATCAACAGATTACAATTTTGGATCAGAGATTGATATTTGTGAAATTAACACTAGCATCTAAATGGTTATCACACTATTAACAAGATAGGAAGTGATAATCTCATATATGTGAAGATATATGTTGAGGAGTTCAGAAGGACGCCTCCGAAAAGTCTAAAGAAGCCCAGAAACGTTAGGGAACGACCTATCCAACGAACATTGAATAGACCCTTTGTGGAAACACCTAAAAAATGTATAGGATTACGTGTCACGGCTCTGATTCGATATTTAGTCATATCTCCACTATATTTAGTATGGTTTCTAAAGCTTCTAGAAGCCCAAGGTCATGTAGAACTCTACAAATACTCTCAATTTTCTGTACACGAATCAACCTTAGAGTGAAGCGTTCTTTCCTCGTTTTGCACCTTGTCTCTTGTGTACAGGCCTCAGTGTGGAATTAGTCTGGCATTATCAGATCTTGCTTTCGTTCTGGTAATCCAATCTGTCGTTGAACAGCAACATTCATTTTACAATACACGAATGATAAAGTAAGATGAAATATAGTTCCTAGTGTTCATATTTCTCCACAGCATATTATTGTGCATGTATCAACAGATGTAATACATAATTCACGAAAAATGATTATCCACCTGTAGTCCCACTGGGGTTAATACCTGACCCAAGCACGGATAAAGGAGGAGGGTTAGGTTTGGGGTTAGAGACCCGATTCCGTGGAAAAACTAACTCGCCCAGAAACGCTAATCTCTTAAATAAAATAAAAAATCTCCATTATCAATAAATACAATATTTGTACGGATATTTCACAAAGTCAGAATTAGTTTATATGAATACTATTCCAGTAGACAAGATATTACGACTAGTAGAACTTCCTCCCAAGTTGTAAATCAAACGCTGGTATAAAAACTGAAGAAATGTTTAATCCAGTAAGTATGAAAATATACAGATATAACATGTGTATTTAAAGTTTTCTGTACAGAGTGAGAAAATTAACATCATCCAATCTACGATTAATGATGTGACATCGTCATCTAATAATCACTATATGCTATATTGACATTCTAGAAGTTCTATAGAATTTTTGCTAGCTCCTACGAATACTTCTCCGACAACACCTTGTTTGTGACCATCTACCCTTTTATACAGTAGCACGGTGTTGAGAATCGTCCGTGTATCCCTCTTAACATGACTTCAGGTGGTGATTTCACATCTAGAACAACAGAGTTGGGTATAGTTCTGTGAAATAAAGAGACTACATGAGTCCACACCCCTCTGTTTATCCCTTTAAGCTGAGCTCTCTTGAAAGTATCCACAAAGTGTTGTTATGCTTGGCCGTTAGACCAACAAGGTTAAGGTGGAGAGCGCAAGTGAACTATTCATTCCATTCATATCAAATAAGTGTTTGAACAAGTCAGAAGCAAACTGACAGCCATTATCTGTTACGTAGGTCTCTGGTACTCCGTAACAGTTAAATGAGCCCAAACTAACTAGAAACATTTTTCCTTGAGCTGGATCCGCAAAATCTCAAAAACATGAGGTGCTCGGATGGCTCACAGAAGCCTCCAGAGTCTATAGAGAAGCTAAATCGTTTCCATCTAATCAAAGCTCTACAGAATCTCGGTATGGCATGAGGCGACTGTTGGATGACGATGTAACATCACCGATTGCAGATTGGATGATTTCAATTTTTTTTCACTCCATACGCAAAACTTTAAATACACATGTTTTCTCCCTATGTTTTCATACTTACTGGAGTAAACGTTTCTTCAGTTTTTATTCCAGCTGTTCATTCTCGACCTTGTAGGCAGTTCTACTAGTCTTAATGCCTTGTGTAGTATATCAGTTGTATCTACCGGCAGACCTAACATTAATGAGTATGTAGTTTTGTATGAATTTAGACTTGTATATATAGAGATTGTGTATCATTGATAATTTTTTTATACTTCATAACGCATCTTCAATATTATAAAAAAGGATTATAACAACATTAAAATTACTTTGGACAAATTGTCAGCCAGTTTGTGAACTTCTTCAAGTGATGACTGGACTGCATTAAAATCTAATAAACCAGGCGCAACTTGACTAATCCGTGAACGAATTTGATTTAAATCATCATAAGGTAACGTTAAACCAACTACTTCAGAGATAGCACGAAATATTTTCCAATCTTCACGACCCTGTCCAGGAGGAACTACAGCTAGTCGAGTTTGTTGAGCACGTCCTTCGGTATTAGCATAAATAGAATCTTTTTCAGTGTAAGCAGCTCCAGGTAAAACAACATCAGCTGATAATGCACCAGCATCGCCATGATGACCTGTAATGATGACAAAGACAAAGAGAACAGTAATAGCAAAAATCATTTGGTTGACAATGAATAAAGTATTTATCTACACCGAGAAAAAAGGTGACATGAGTTTCACGTACATAAGTATTTTAGGTACGCCTCTACATGAAATTTGGACTATGGCACACAACAGTACGGATAGTTCCCACTCAACGAACGATATGATTATTTCGAGGGTTGTAGTTAAGATAACTCCAATTGCAAAACAAGAGCTCAATCATCTGAAGTCATCTGTTTTTGGTCTAGACTCTATTTCTACAAAGTGATATTCATTGATGCCACAATAAATCAAATCAAATCAAATCACAATGAGTATTTTAGCTTACCGATATAAACTATTAAACTATCCGCAGCTAAATCTTGACGTGTAATTAGATTACGATCAGCACCCAAAAGGAAAAGTATTTTTGGCCTGTTCTGTTTGATTACTTCTATGTTCGATGTGTAACCTAAGTCTAGAGCAGCAACTTGACTGGCATACTGTGAAATAAAAATGAAGGTAATTAAAATAATACAAACGAATAAGTATCAGTTGAAAGAAATCATGCTAATCACAGAAGCCAATTCCAAAGTCAATCAATACGTACATAGTGAACGCCTCACTAACTTAAAGATTTATGAAGTTAGATTAGCAATAACATGACATGCTAACAATGTAGACAGGGAACCGTAGAGATGAATTTGATTGAAGAAAACAACAAACATTTTGGATGGGTGAAACAGCAACAATGTCAGGGAATTTCCGGAAACATGACATTCCGGTCAATCAGCAGTCTACAGATACATTGACATAAACTCAATTTATGGGCCCAGAGAAGCCAATCAATCAAGAGGCAAAAACGTTAAACAACAAAGACGGTTAGTGAAAATTGAAAGACAAACATGCACAGGTGCATTCACTCTTTGTGTTCTTTTATTTCATTATATTCTACTTCTAGAATAATATCTTCAAACCCTAATCTCTCCGATTACTGCTAATGCTTTAAATTACCTCTACTACTATGGGATTTGAAGTGACAATTACATCTCTGTGCTAATGTTGTATGGCAAATTGAACTGATATACGTACGTACGAAGTTCTATGTTGTTGTTGACCAATTGACTGAAAAACAAATGAAGAAAATACAATCTACGAAGACAGCCAATCAAAAACAAGGCCGTCTAAAGTAACTGAAAAGTTGGCTTCTACACATAAAGTAGGCGCTGAAGATACTATTGAGAAAGACAATGAAAACTCTGCGATTAAACGATCCAGTTTACAGAAAACAACACTAAAACGATGATTACAAACCATTGAATGTTCACTAAACAGTCTCAAGGTAAGGCTCTCGTCATTAGACCTAAGAGTTCTCAAGTCCGGTTTTCGATGTGGTCGTGGATGACTACTACTGAGTCTCATACGAAAGCCAAACAGTTATTCATTATTTCCTAGTTCACAATGATTGTCTAAGATTAGTCCATGGTTTAAACTATTAAATCTTCATGATAATCCATAATAGAAATATATTAAAAGCATTAATTTTTTAAATAAATAACTAAAAAAACAAAAACCACGTGTTGTTATGAGTAATTGAAACAACGCTTACACGATGGAGAACATTGAACACTTGATAATCCAGATTTTTTGTTTGTTTTAAACAGGCTGAAATTTGACGTACAGCATTATGAATTGCCGCTGCATCCTTACGTTGTAAACATTCACTACCCAAAATTATTATTGGATGGGACGAAGATTGTAAACGCTTTAGAAATAAGGTAATAAATAATTTAAAAATAATAATTTGTGAAGTGAGAAGAGAATAAGTAGGAAGTATGAAAAGTTAAGAAGTACATTTGTTGACAATTAAATACTCAGTGGTCAAGAGGTTAGGCGTAAGCACGCACGACCGAAGGTCCTGTAAATGATTACCGCGGGTAGAGTTGTGGGATCTGCAGCGATCAAGAGTTCTATACTATCATGATTTCAATGCGCCTTAACTGGTTATCTAAAGTTTGTCATCTACACTAACCAGCATGACTCAGTTCATATTTTAATAAAAGATCCAGATAACAAAATTGTCATTGGGATCGATTTTATGCTCATATCAACTACAGTTTTTGACAATGAGTTAGTGGAGAAATGGCTCAGATGTATGACTATGTCGGCGTTTCTTTATCTGAGCTGGATGTTTCAGTCAGTCAGTCAGATGCAACGTAGAACTTCTTACGTAAGTACATCAGTTCACGTTGCCATACCACATCAGCACAGAGATGTAATCGTCAATTCAAATCCAATAGTAGAAGAGGTAGTAAGGGTATTAGAAGTAATCGGAGAGATTAGGATTAGAAGATATTATTCAAGAAGTATGATTCAGTGAGATAAGTTTAGAAAGTCAAAACTAGAGGTGTTGAAGAATCCAGAAGATTAGGATTTGAGAGAACACAAAGAATAAATGCACCGGCGCCATTGCGAACGATTTTGAGTCATATCATTCAAGGTCTCTAACCATCGATTATTATCATCTCGCGAACCCCAACCAGGTAGTCGACAATTACCGACATGGCTCAGTCCACTCGTCAATGACTTCATGGATTTCTGCCATGTTTTGGTTTGGCCGCCCCTAACTTTCTTCCAACCTATTCCTACACTACAAAACAAAGCTCGACGAGGCAGTCGGTGGTTGGGCATACGCAACACATGTCCCAACCAAAATGTTTTCGTTACTATCATCATTGATATTGCTACTTATCCCTGTTACTACTCTTGATGATTTTAACTGTCTGTGCTGATATTATTTGAACTGAAAGACAAATGTGCCAAGTTCTAAACATTGTTTACAACTGATTAACAATATTTAGTTAGTACAATCAAATGAATAATTGTTCAAATTTGTAAATGATTTACTTTACTTTACTTTTAGTTTGGAGAAAAAATAAGATGCATAACATCAAATTTAAAAGAAAACTTGCCTTATTCAATGGATGTTTACCAGCAGCTAAAGATTGTAAAGTTTCAAGTTGATCACCAAGATGCTAAAACATAAAGAATTTTCTTTTTAAAAAAAACTATTAGATTTATTGAAGTAAGTTCCCTGAAACAATAAGTTCTTTTTTTGGGGGGCACAGTTTTGGAGGTTTGCGATTTTACACATTTGAAATCATCAATCAATCATTGTTAGACCACCATTAGAAACCTGGAAGCACTGGACGGCCGTTTCGTCCTGGTATGGGACTCATCTCACAATGATTGATGATTTCAAATGTGTAAAAACGCAAACCTCCCAAACTGTGCCCCAAAATATCGTAACAGTGCTCACTAGTGACTGGCTTCGTGAGGAAATTCTCGGAGTTTTAGTTGAGAAGACGTGACCAATGGAGTTCAACCCTGTCAGGGGTAGGCAGTAACTACCAAAGACAAATGGGTGAGGTCGCGCAAAATCCCTAGATCAATCAGAGTTAAACATTAATACCGTTGGATGTCGGCCCAGTGGTCCGATGGTAAGGCGTTCGCCTACAATGCCAAAGGTCCCGGGTTCGAATCCTGCGAGGAGCAGTAGTCGTGGATGCGCACTGCTGAGTCCCATACCAGGACGAAACGGCCGTCCAGTGCTTCCAGGTTTCTAATGGTGGTCTAATAATGATTGATTGATGATTTCGAATGTGTAAAAATAAGTTCTTTATTTACATAAATTATAACAGTTGTTACAAGCAATTTAATCAAGAATGAGGCTTAATTTCATTGACATTTCTGCAGTAAAAACTAGAAGAATTCTACTCTACGATTCATTCATTAATAACTTGATGTTAAATTTTATTCAGAGCACGAAAATAATTAGTACAATACGACAACAGGAAATAAATTAGACAAGACTGATTTTTTACAGGCTTTCATCGAACGGTGTATTACAATGCAACATTCATAGACTGGAGGTAGGTTTCATCATTGATTTCTGACGAGTGGTTTTTATCGATTTTATTCTGTACGGCATGAGGTTACTAACCCAATCTTCAACCCTAATTCTCTATTCCGGCTCGCGACTGGCCGTAATCTTAGAAGGGCTTCAAGTACGGTGAGACCGACAAGGTGGACCTGTCGCAGATGTGAGGGCGCAGATTGGCAAAGCAAAGGTAGAATTTCTACAATTGAAAAACATCCGAAACTCATACAAGAGTCACAATTTTCAACGCAAGTATCGAGACAGTTTTGTTGTATGGGGCGGAAACTTGGACAACTACCAAAGCCATCATCCAGAAGATAGACGTGTTTTTTGACAGTTGTCTATGCAAAATACTTGAGATCCGATGATTAGGCACCATTAGCAACAACCTACTTTTGGAATGAACGAACGTGACTCCAGCGGAGCAAGAAATTAGGAAGAAGCACTAGAGGAGGAGAGCACCTAATTGCGTCACAAGACAAGCCCTCACATGGAACCCTCAAGGCCAAAGGAAAAGAGGAAGACCGAAAAACATGTTACTCCGAGGACTGGAGACAGATATGAGAAAAATGAAGAACAGTTGGACAGAACTAGAAAGGAAGGTCTAGGACAGAGAAGACTGGAGAATGGTGGCCGGCGGTCTATGCTTTACTAAGGGTTAAGGGCGTAAGTAAGTTAGGATGTGCCTGTTTGTCCATGTTTGATGACCAATCACATTTCCCTTTCAGCATCTTCGATTAACTAGATAGTTGACAACATAAGAAAGTCCTGACGATTCGTGTGTTTCGCCCCCTTAATTACACTATGTATTTTGTTTGATATAGTATGAAATCCCGTCTTACTGATGAGTGATATCACTGATTATAAAAATCACAACTTTATAATGGATGGTACGACAGAAAAGATGTCAGAATGCAATGAATATGATCAGTGAAAAAATTAAAATAATAATACATCGTATAATGTGAAAGAACTTATCATTTGTGTTTGTGAATACACTTAAACACTAACTTTATAGTCCTTCTAGAAGCTCTATGCTCTTGAGTCTGGAACAAAGAAGAAATGAATTGAAGGAAGTATGAATGAAGATATACTTCTGAGATTAGATTATGGTCCAGAAAACAAACATATTAATAGGATTACATGTGATTTCAACAAGATTTGAGAAGTTTTTAGAAATTATGCTAAATATAGCAAACAACTTGATAGTTTTCCAATCGAAATAATTAGAACACTGACTAATCGAAATATTTTTATCATTACCATGCATCTGGAGATTTTTTTTACAAAATATGTTATTATTCAGCTATTTTATCAAACATTACATAGGATTATGTGTTATATCAATTGATTTGAAGTAAAATTTATATAAAAGTTAAAAGATAAACGTTTAAATTATGAATCGATCAAAGTTAGACCATCAATAGAAACCCGGAAGAACTGGATTCCAGGAATCTTCTGCGAATTCTTGTAAGAAGTTGTTACTAGTAGGGTTTAACCTTGTTCGGGTGTAGACAATAACTACCGAAGACAGTGTATGAGGTTACGGAAGACCGTAAATTGATCGAGGTTAGAAACACCGTTAGATATCGGGCCAAGTGGTCTATAGGTTAGGCGTTCGAGTGCAAGACCGAAGGTCCTCGGGTGCAATAGTCGTGGATGCGCACTGCTGATGAGTCCCATACTATACGACAGAACAGCCGTCCAGTACTTTCAAGTTTCTAATGGTAATCTAACTTTGATCGATTCATGATTTCATTCTTTAAATAATAATTTATAATTTAAGAAAAAATAAAAAACTAGAATATTAAATCTTACTTCATAATCATAAGTTAAATCAACTTTAGGACCTAATGAGAAAATTTCCAAATCATTATTTATCCAACATTTACGTAGACGTGCATTCAATAACGGTGCTTCAAAACGTGGATTCGTTCCAATTAGTAAGACAAGATCAGCATCTTCTATACCAACAATATGACTATTGAATAAATAATTACTACGTAAATCCGTGCTAGAATGATAATTATAATAAGATGATGATGATGAACAAAAAGCATATTCATTATTCAATAATTAGTTTATACAAAATAATATTTATTTTTAAAATGATCCAGAATATTATGTAAATGATAATTTAAGTGAATTACAAATTATCTTAGTTGATATATGTCTGTACAAGTAAGTGGCTGTTTAAACTTAATAGCTATGCAAGCTGGAAGAGGAAGGGGTGGTATTGGGTGAATATCAACTATGAAATACCAGGACATCTAGCTAATAAGTACCCGACAAAAGGAAACTTACACTATGGATTTTAATAGTTGTCATATATTTTCTATGTATTCCCTTTAGATTAAAACGTGACGTTTTATGTAATGGAAGTTAATTAGACTGTGAAACATTTGGATTGTATTATTCCTATTCGATTGTTATCTTACTATTAATGATAAATGGAAATGGATATTTTTTTAATGAAGGGGATTTGTAGAGATTATTATTATTATTATTTTCCTAGTTGAAATCACGAACAACCATTAAGAACCAAGAAGCACTGGGCAGCTGTTTCGTTCTAGTAAGCAGAGTGCATCCACGACACCCGTAAACGAGAATCGTACTGTGGAACTCATGTCTCGCGCGTAAACGCTTAACCTATAAATCACTGAGTCGGCATCCTAATACGGTTAACGTCTAACTTTAATCAATCCTTGGTCTAACGTAACCTTCACCCATTACGTACGGTGGATAAATGTCTACAATTCCATTTGAACTGAACTTCACCGATCACTGGGTCATAGGTTTCAACCCACTAAAGTGTTATGAGGTAAGCCTTTTTAGTGAATATTAGGTAAATATAAGATACACCTTGTTAACCACTGCATGAGATTCATCCATGTGACACCACATATAGCAATCAGCAATTGAACTTCACAAGAATACAACACAATTCTAATCACTGATGATCGATTAATTTGTGATCCTCTAACTAGAGAAGTTTGCATATGCTTACATACTTCAGTCGACAATTAATTAACAATACGCATTGATTCAGTTAACTGCCTACCCCACTTAACCCTTTTCATTCATCCATATATTAGTTACCATTAAATGTTGATGTACAGAATAACTGATTACACACGCAATCCATGTGTGAATAGACTTGAATGATAAATTACGACGTCCTTATTCACTGACTTATCAGTTTTATGAAATACTCAGTCAGTCAGTCAGTCAGTTACAGCATAGAACTTCGTATGTACGTACATCAATTCAAGTTGGCCTACACACAAAGAGATCAAATTGTCGATTCAACTCCCATAGTAGTAGAGGTACTAAAAGTGTTAACAGTAATCAGAGAGATTACAGTTCGAAGATATTATTCAAGAAGTATAATTTAGTGAAATAAACTTAAAAAGATAAAGATAAAGGTGATGCAGAATCCCGAGGACTAGCATTTGAGAGAAGACAAAGAATGGATAAACCTGCACCACTGTAAACGGTTTTGAGTCATACCGTTCAAAGTCTTTAACAATCGATTTCTATCATCTCGTGGACCCCAACCAGGTAGTCGACACCTATCAGTGCCTTCATGGATTTGTGCCATGTTTCTATTTGGTCACCCCTAGCTTTCTACCAACCGACTTCTACACCACAAAACATAGTTCGATGAGGAAGCAGACAATTTCAATTAAATTCTGCAGTTCATTACCAAACACATAAGTAGGTACTTTGAAGACACTTGTAATTGAAAGATACCAATCTTAGACTATAATTTTACTTTTATAAGCTAAATCTCATCATTATGTAATTTGACTAAATACCATAACAAAATGTTTGCAAAATTACCGATCTGTTGGAAAACATTCTTCAGTACAAACTAATTCAGAATTGAATCGATTAATTAAATCTTTCAATGCTATCATTGATTCAGCATCAGCGAATGGACCAACTAATCCAGCTACTTGATTTGGTTTAGGTATAACATTTTCTTTAGATGATCCAAGTATAGGAAGTAGATTTTCAGCAATTTTAACAAAACAATCTTCCCATGTACTTTTGACCAATTTATCAGATTTTTTTAAATAAGGAAATATTAACCGTTGTCTACTTAATCCATCATATGAGAATCGAGATTTATCAGCTAACCATTCTTCATTCACATCCTGAAGAGTAGTTTGAGAGGAAGAAAAAGTATAGTAGGTGAAATATTTGCAGAAAAGTAAACAAAATGTTTACAGTCAAACTAAACTGTACTAGTTGGAGACAAGACAAAGAATGGATGCATTTGTACCACCATTGCAAAAGATTTTGAGCAATGTCATTCAAAGTCCCTAAACATCGGTTACCATTGTCACGCGGACCCCGACCAGATAGTCTACATCTCCCCAAACCAACATGGCTCAGTTCAGTTGTCAATGACTTTATGGATTTGTGCAATATTTTGATATGACCGCTCCTAGCTTTCTTCCAACCTATTGATTGCTACATCACAAAACATTGTTCGTTGAGGTAGTCGGCGGTCGGGCTTATGTAACACATATCCATATCACATCAAATGATGATTGTTCACTACTTCATCAATTGATTTGCCATACATACCTAGTTCTCTTTTCCTAACACTAGCATTGCTTACTCGGCGGTCTCAGGATATACGAGCAATGTTCTGAAGACACCCATGATCGAATATCAGTAACCTATAAATATCCTGTCCTCTTACTACTGGCCATGTTACAATTACCAATTACTGAGAATAGTAGCTGATATACTGTCAACATTTTATTGTGTATTATTATTAGTATTAAGTCACCGGAATCGTATTACAAACAAATATAGATGTTTATTTAATCATGGAAACATTATGATACAAATTTTCAAAAAAAATTTTTAAAAACCATTAACTAACTTCATTCAATCTTGGAATTATTCTTAGTACTTGATTTGTACGCATAGAAATTACAATATTTGCACCTAATGCATCCATGACATCAATCGATTCAATACGTCTTGTCTCCCAAGGTCGTGCAGTAAATGCATACGGTTTCGAAGTCAATGCACCAACAGGACACAGATCAATAACATTACCAGATAATTCACTAAAAAATGGTTTATCTATATATGTGCCAATTTGAAGAGAACTTCCACGACCAGTAGTTCCAAGATCCGGTACACCAGCGATTTCATTAGCAAATCTATTTTAGAAAAAATTAGAATTGTCAAATCGTTCATTAACAAAAATATTATTTAAGAAACTTAAGATACTACTATTTACGTTTACAGTAGTTTATATGCTAAGTTATTGTTATTGTTGTTCTGGACAAGTAGAGTCGATGTTTAATTCATGGTGAAGTGAGTTGTTTCAACAATCAACAATTAGCTAACTGACTAACTTATTAATTAGAAATAATTAAATATATGTAGCTGAAGCGAAGATAGTGAAATACAATGAAATCATCGTATTTTACTATTATTCTTGTTGTCTTTTGTTTTACTTTAGTCTTTGAAAAGAATCAATTCAGAGATTTCGTAAACTTTACTTATCGTTATACTGTTATTGACTGACTTGTTGCGAATAATAAAAATCATATAACTGTAGTGTCGCAATGAGTAGTCAGGTTATAATTTCCTGACACTTCATGATAACAGTGTACGCCACTGCTGCCATGAATATCTCTATCTTTATGTTGGGGATGTCAGATCCCCAGAACTCGCTTGATAAATGTCTTTATTTGGGATTTATTTCATGGGACGATCAGTTGACCTTGAGATCACATTTCCCAGCAGGAAAATCTTTGGCTGTGATTGGTTACTGTGTCATTTTAGTGAGCTATTTTTGTAACTGTCCCAAGGACGTCTCTATGGCGTATAAATAAACGCAATTTGAGTGCTTGGATTCATTGTGTGCTGGCTGGATGTTTGTAGAATACACTTTCTACGCTATATCAAGACTTCTTGCTGGTAAAATTTGGTCAAGGGATCACAGTAGCCTACCTGGACGCTGGTTCATTGTTTTGTTCTCGTTATTCGACTAAGGTGAACTCGTAATAGTTTAAGCATACCTAGAAACGAGCGTAACACTTTACACATAACAAAAAGTCACACTGATCATACCCAATAAGACACACAAGTGCACACGCACATTTCACATAAATCACTGTGACCAGATTGACATGATATGAACTTGGTCACACATCGAATGTACTAAATACATTTTTACTTCGGTTAGTGTTATTCATTGACTGATTGTCTTGTTTATAGTTGACATCTAAGCGGAAGGTTTTGCGCAAAGAAATTAATGATCAATTCGCTGATATTACTGTTGCATAATTGAAGCCAAATATAAATCATATCAAATTAATACATTTAAAAATGTTGAACAGAGTATTACTGATTAAATTCAATGACTAATAACTTAAAATTTAACTTATAATGAAAAAAAATTCGACAAGACTTTAATTCATAGAAGAAACAATAAGATACAAGATACTAAGTCTTCGAATTCGGTGTGAAATTCATTTGGATAGACAGCTAATGTTAGTTCGTGATGAGAACCCTTACTCTATAATTTTAAACTCTAACAACTAATTTTGAATATTAATTTGAATTCGTCAACCTTTTTTTTTATCCTGACAAGTAGGTAAATACTTTCAAGGTCACTTTGGCATCACTTAAAAAGGTCATTCACAAACTATAATCTCACCGGATATTCTTAAATAAGATAACAAATGAACGCAACTAACTCATATCAATTCGCTTATCGTCTTTACATAATAACAACAGATTTTCACTACACTTTCTTCGATCAGACTGAGTGAGATGTCTCATATTCTCTAGCTTTCAATGATTATCTCAAGTGAAATTAATCTATGGCTAATATAACTAGTAAACTAAATTATTCTGCATGGCGACGTTTCCGTTCTCTGAGCTGGATGTTTTGATTATGGAGCTTTCACTGTTTTTCTGAACAACATATTCAGATCAAAAGGGGGATACAATCAAAACATAGGTGCAAACAACGACAGGTTTAAGGTCAACAACAACCAATCAAGATATAGGTTAATAGAACAAGCTACGGGACAACCGTGGAGAAATTCGAATACTTCACCTCTACCGTGAAGTTTGTGTTGCTGATGATGATGTTGTTCAGAAGAAGAACAATGAAAGTTCCCACAACCAAAACATCCAACTCAGAGAACAGAAACAACACCACCACAATCATCCACTTGAGCTACAAATTCCCTACACTATCTTAAATGAATCTCTGTTTAAGAAAAATGTCTTCAAATAAACTTTTATAAAACATAAACAAGGAATAAACGTATTTATTTATTTAATTATTACCTTACACATCTTGTACAGTGTATACAACGTGTCATAATAGTTTTAATTAATGGACCAAGATTTTTATCTTCTACAGCACTAAAGAAAATATAAAATAATTTCATTATTCATAAATGACAATTACTGTGTCGGCGATTTATATGGAATTGGTAAAGTGTGAAAATTGTAAAGAGCAGATATCAGTGTGTGTGTGTGACCATCAGTGAAAACAAAATCACTGAATGTAGAGAGACATATATTCAGTTTAATATAAAATATTTAATTTCCTTTCAAATGCTAATTTCTATTTCAGGCTCCATCGAGTAAAGACTTATTGTGTAATAGCGCAGGTGCATTCTCATTCATTGTGTTCTCCGATATTCTAAGCTTCTGAATTCTTCATCATCTCTATCTCTCTCTTTGTAAATTTATCATACTGAATTATACTTCTCGAATCATATTTTCGAACCTTAATCTTTTCGATTACTGCTAATACTCCTACTATCGCTACCCTATAGGATTTAAACTGACAGTTGCGTCTCTGTGCTGATGCGGTATGACAACCTGAACTGATGTACTCATGTACGAAGTTCTACGTTATAACTGACTGACTGATTGTGTAATAGTGTGGAATAAAGTATTATCTAGCCTATGCTAGAGTTCTCTATATTTGATCAAGAATTGTCCATTATAAATGACGCATTTTTATGTTAATCGTTTCTGATTAAAACAAGTAGATTTATTGAAAATGGTTATTATTAACTTTTAATTATAATCTGTACTTGGTAATGGAATTAGCCAGTTAATAAATCAAAAAAAAGTTTCTGAAGTTAACAGTGCATGAATCTAATGACACAGTTCTATCTACATGTTTCATTCAGCAGGAACTAAAATCCAGCCGGGATTTTAGTGATCATTTTATTTTATTCTATCAAAACATTTAAATTAAGCTGTAGGTTTGTCTTATCCGTAATACCGTTTTTTTTCTGATAAAGTGAATGATACAACTCACCAGGAACATTTTCATGTACTCAATATTGGGTTATATTCAAAGTATGAGGACCAGTGATACTAATCAGCTACTCAAGTCAAAGTTAGTATGGAGAAACTTGAACCTGGAACTTAATAGTTGAAAGTCGAACAACTTAACCATTATGCCGCCATTCTACTACAAAAAGCGAATAGCTAATCATAACTATCTATCATTATTTATAAACTATCGCTAGTGAAGGATGATAGAGTGGGGAAAATAATAGTCAGTCAGTCAGTTGCAACGTAGAACTTCGTACGTAAGTACATCAGTTCATGTTGCCATACCACATCAGCACAGAGATATAATTGTCAATTCAAATCCAATAGTAGAAGAGGTAGTGAAGGTATTAGAAGTAGGGGAAAATAATAAGTCAAAGTTGAACTTTATTTGTATTTAACAATTAAGTATTACTATGATCACTTTGTCGGTCGAAAGGAACAAAGAATCTTCGTACGTATGTAAGGAAAATCTACGTTGTTAAGATGAATACCTGAATGATATAAGTAACAATATCTGTACTAGCAGATGAGATTAGGCAGATAAAGAAGTGATTTCAGAAGAAATACCTAATTGGTGAAGTGAGAAGCATGAATTAATTTTAGAACTCTAGAATTAAGAGAAGAAAAATATAGTAAACTGGAGGCTGAAAATGCTAAATCACACACTTAGCGAAAATTTTAAAAAGGATATTAAGAAAAAATTAATATCACAAAAAGGTAAGAATGCACACATACCGTTTGCCAGTAAAGCGAATATCGACAAAACGTGAACGATCCGATCCGAAATTCATTGACTGGTCCTTGGCAAGAAAAGTAATTTACAAAGAATAATTATTAACATTCTTAACAGAGGTATATTGATGAAAAGAAAGTATAATAAAGCGCTTAGTAAAGTGCATATTCTATTTTTTTTATGGACAGTACCATATTTTTAACAGGTTAGTTTCGATTGTTGCACCGTAAACATTTTAGAATATCTATTAACTAAGTAAACTATCACAAAATTATATAAGAAGAAAAAGGGAAATTACTTGAAGATCACATTCTCCACCTTGATCACAAATAGGACAATCCAAAGGATGATTGACTAGCAGAAATTCCATAACACCTTCACGTGCTTTACGAGTTACCTCCGAATCGGTTTTAATGCTCATTCCACGCATTACTGGCATCGCACAACTAGCAACAGGTTTCAATGACTTTTCTACTTCAACTAAACACATACGGCAATTCCCAGCAATGGATAATCGTTCATGATAGCAAAATCTAACAGAATAATGGTAAAATGTAAAAATTTAGATATTAAAGCGGTGGGCATGTACAAAAATAACTAACTTCAAGCCATTACAGCACACTTTACAGTTACCGATAGATTAGAACCGTGAGTGCTTTTAAATTATATGCCAGAATTAAACATCAGGAAGACAAAAAAACTCTAAAATGGTTTTATGCTTCAAATAATATATGACTGTATCAAAAACAGAGAGGAAATTGAAACAGCAGTTCGCTCCGTTCTCCTATATGGATGCGAAACATGGCCAGTGAGAGTAGATATTCATAAATTACTAGTATTCGATCACAGACGTGTTAGAAGCATTGCTCGTGTATCGTGGGACACTCGAGTAAGCAATGCAACCATTAGGAAACGAGTACTAGTTAAGGATGGCAGATCAATAGATGAATTAGTGAAACTTCATCAGTTGAGGTGGTTGGGACATGTGTTACGAGTGCCTAACCACCGACTGCCTCGACGAGCAATGTTTTGTGCTGTAGGTTTAGACTGGAAGAAAGTTAGAGAGGCCAAACCAAAACATGGCACAAATCCATAAAGTCATTGACAAGTGGACTGAGTTATGTTACTTGGTCGGGGTCCACGAGACGAAAGTCACCGATAGTTAGAGACCTTGAATGATATGGCTCAAAATCGTTTGCAATGGCGCCGGTGCATTTATTCTTTGTGTTCTCTCAAATTCTAATCGTCTCCATTACCAGTAATACTTCTACTATCTGTACCACAATGGGATTTGTATTGAAAATTGCGTCTGTGTGCTAATGTGGTATGGCGACCTGGACTGATGCACTGACGTACGAAGTTCTACGTTGTAACTGACTAACTGACTGACTGACGATAAGTACATAATACAGTATACAAATACTACAAACGTTACTTTAAAGTGGGTGGTGGTATAAGTAATGTAGATGCATTTCACACAAAAAAGGATCAACATACGAAACAATCCGTATAATGTCTCACAATAAGCGATTAGTCCAAGCCTTCAAACTTCACAACAGAACAGAAAAGATAATGAGTTCGGGGCTTTACAGTGACTTTGTTGATTGGTGTTAGTTATAGACTGATTAATCTTAGCTACTGACTACCTGGTGATTTTACCATATATAAGTTCAACTGAATTTTTTACTACCAGTATACAAGTGTAATGGATGTAAATTAGTGTATAGTATCTAACAATGACCCAAATATCACATGTAGTATGCAGATATTTAAGTCAACAACAATAAAAACCAGATTTGCCTAACTGTGGTGTTCACTAAACCATCAGGATCAGTGAGATTTATTAACTGCCATTTATAAAGCGATTGATTCCTACAAGTCCACATTTTAACCAGTTGGTTTAAGAAAAATATGAACACCATTCCATATCTGGTCAATTATGAACAATTCAATGCATTTGAAAGTAACAATCAGATAAAATCCATGGAAAAAAATATTACATAAAACAATGAAAAACTAATATGATGCTATAAATTATGGCGTTTAATTTAAATGACAAGAGATTAAACACAATAGATGCCCTTCTTAGAATAGATAAAACTATCGGTTTTATCAACAATATTACGGATAATAAAGAATTCGTAAAAACCTTACATTTACATACCGAGGTATTTGTACACCCGCTAAAGCACATGCCTGCAAAATAGTCATACCAGGTTCACATACGACTGGTTTACCGTCTACTAAAACTTCAATCTGTTGGGAAGGTTGGGGTGGAGCAGGTGGGGGCGTGTTTGTTGTAGTTTTAGCAGTATTTGTGCTTGATGTGGTTCCGGACACGCTAGCAACCACTTTTTTGAGAGGAGGATGTCGAGACGAAGATGCTTGTCTACAGATTGCTTTGGAAATCAAACATTAATATGATAAAGTGACCATGAAATATATATATTTGTAGTTTGCGTATGGTGAAACCAACAAATAAAAATACTGTTACACTCAAGGCTTCCACTAAAAATGGTAAGTTGATCAATAGAAGTGACTAGGAGTTGTATTACATAAGATCAACATCTACCTTAACGCCTAACCATAGATCGTGTCAGGGATCATAATAAAACTTAGGACGCTTAAACTAAGAATTGTGATCAGTTCGTAGTCACTGGCTGATAATACGAGCCACAGTGATAGGTCGCGAGACGATAGTAACCGATGGTTAGAGAGTTTGAACGACATGGCTGAGATCGTTCGCGATAGAACAGGTGCATTCACTCTTCATTTTCTATGAAATCCTAATCTTTTGAGTTCTTCATCACCTCTATCTTCCTCTTTTTAAAGTTATCTCACATAATTTTAATTCTTCAATAACATCTTCGAACCCTAATCTACTTTACCGACAACACTTCTACTATCTCTACCACAGTGGGATGTGAACTCAAAATTGAGTCTTTGTGCTAACGTGGTATGCCAATCTGAACTAATGGACGTACGTACGAAGTTCTACGTTGTAACTGACTGACTGATAGTGATAAGTATAAACTTTCACGTCGGGATACAAAGAATGATCATAATTTATAATTTAACCCGTGATTAAGCCTAATAACGAACTGTTTCCCCTATATATCGTTGTTATCAGCTGTGTCATAGATGTCATCTGCTAACTTAACTTCTATGAGAACTATGACTGTCATGATTTTGTTTAAGTCAGCTATCGTTTGTCACAAACTGTGGATCTTTTGATGGTCTTTTGGAATCCATATAAAGTTAGCGGATTACTTTAAAACTGACAATACAGTCGTTTATCAGCTGGCCTTTATTAGCCTTAGTTGTAAGACACTTGTTTCGGATTTCGATTTTATGATATTCTTTAGGCGAGCATATTGTATTCATCACATAAGAATTTGAACCACAGCTGATATATTGACTTATTTTTCAACGTCAAGCAATGTTACTGCATGCCCAAATCTGTAACGTCACTCACCATGACTGGCTATACTGAGAATACAGCCGCAATAAAGTAATTACTCTAAACGTTCATAGGTAAAGAGACTCAATTGCTCTAGTCAAACTTCCCTATGGGACTGCTAACTGGCTAAATTCAAGTTCTGACTTAGAAAATATTTCCTTCCATAGACGGCTTGCTTATAATTCATCAACTTCATGGAACAAACTTGAATATATGGAACAAACATTTCCTTTGATTTTATGAGAATATAGATACGTCGAGTCGAAAGTCTGAGTAGCTAAAATCAAACAATTTAGTGCGCTCAGTCATCTTTTAGCGCTCTGGATGTCACAGGAGACTGAACGGTAGGTCAACTGTGACCAAGAATCAACATAAACAGCTGCTGCAGAATTTGGAAACCATTTATACTTAACTAGAGTATGTTTACTGAGGATTCATTTGAGAGGTGACATGGATTAACATGGAGAGTACAGATTTTGTTATTGCTAGAGTTCCCACTTACTTTCATTGAATCTTTTTAGCCAGATATACACACTAGACTGTCTTTGTAGCATCTTCTGCTAATAGGCGAAAGACCCGCGCAACAAGCGTGACCTTGACCAAAACTAAAAGATACGAATTCGTATATTGAGGACAGAAGTCTAGCGGCTCGCGTTGTTTATTCACAGTGATCCTCTAAAAGTTGATGACTTAGTATGAAGACCTGTATGACAGGGGTACAATATTCCTTCTTCCAATATCCGGTATCTTTTTCACGAGCTAATTTACACCGATTGATTTCTTTGCACTCAATTATTGTTGTTTCGGTACGTTTCCAGGTGTTTGGTAGTGTCCAATGGATGGAGGTCTTGCCACTCGACTGTCTAATTTTAGTCAGTTGGCAGTTAGTTGTGAGTTTGTATGGTTCGAGATTTGAATGAAAACGTTTGTTTCAGGGCAGTAGGGTTTCTGGTTACCAGCAGCCGTCACTTTACCAGACCGGAGATCAGCTGCTTGCAAAGTGGAGAATAATAAGGATAATAAGGATAAAATTCTAATCTTAATGTGAAAAAAATTTCATAACTAAGTAATATATAGATGATTTAATCTATTGGTAGTGAAGATAGTTAGAGAGGACTGAAGTATAATCAAGAGAAAGGAAACAGAGAAAATAGGAGAGATAGATTAAGTAAGTGATCTGAGAAGATGGCAGTGATAACAACCAGCAGGTCTCAAGATATGCATCATGAACAGCTTGTCCAAGAGGGAGATAATTTTCCGTATATTAGTACGTGATTACCAAGTCTCTTCTTAAAGCTGTCCACTGAGGAGGCTGTGGTCACTTCGGCTGGGAGAGCATTCCAAGTTGCGACAACTCGCAATGATAAAAAGTGTGCACGAACTTGAGTATTCGCTCTTTGATGTGCAATCTTTTGAGGATTGCCTCGACGGAAATGGTGGTGATTCATCGATAAGAGGCTCACGTTGGGATGATTTGAGGTGCTTAATATGTTGTACGCCATAGTCAGATCACCTCTGATTATAACATAACTCAGTGGGAATAATCCGAAGTGCCGTGGTCTATCTTCGTAAGGTTTATTCTTCAACCCTGTAACCCATTTGGTTGTTCGTCTCTGCACTCGATCCATAAGCTTTTAGTCTCTTTCAAGCAGAAGGGGTGCGATGATGTTATGAGCCTCCAGGTGCGGGAACGCGTGTGTCCTAAATAGTGCTGAGAATGATTGTTGGAGGTGATAACACCTAGTTTTCTTCGCATAAAATGAAGAGTCGCATTTGCCTTGGTAAAATAGGTTTAGGTAGAGTCCAATGGCTGGTGGTCCAGCGATTTGACTGCACTAATTCTATTAAAATGGACATTTTTTGTGATTTTATATGTCCGGTGATTTTAATGAGAACGTCTGTTACGCGGCAGTAGGGTTTACTGACGCCAGAACCTATGACGCTGCCAAGCCGGAAATCAGTTAGTTGCAGTATGGAGAATAATAAGGAGAAAACTTTTTAAGCTAGTAAGATTTCAGAAGTAAATAAATTGATAACGAACTGATAAATGAGCAGTATTGTACGAGAAGACCAAAGGTGGAAGAAACGGGCATAATCAGCTGGTTCAAGAGAAAGATAACAATCCGTATGTCAGTACGCGTACATCAAGTATCTTCTGGAAGCTGTAGTGCAACACTTCTACGAAGAAAACGCGACTGGTGAAAACAGAACACATTATTGTACTCGTTTTTTAACTGTACTAAAAACACTTACTTACGCCCTACTTTCTTTTTTGCGTTGCTGTCATCATTTGTAACTTGCTGCTCGTTGTACCGCCAAATTTCTTCAAATATATTCTTCACCCTGTATTTACTTCTGACTAGATAGTAATTAGTATTTAGAGATGATCATAATCAATCTCCACTCAGTCACTGCTAGAAATCAATCCACTGAGGGGATTGTTATCACTTCAGCTGGGAGAGCATTCCAATCTACAACGACTCTTAATGAGAAAACAGTATGCACAAACCTGAGTGCTCTCTTTTTAGTGCTCAATTTTTTGAGGATTATCTCGAATGGCCTTAGGATGAATTGGCGCGCCTAATATGTTTTCAGCTTGTGTCACATCACCTCTGATTCTCCTGTAACTCAGAGATAAAATTCGCAAGTGCTGAAGTCGATCTTCGTAAGTTTTATTCTTTAACCCTGTCACCCATTTCGTTGCTCGTCTCTACTATCTACTCAAAGAGATTTATGCTTCTTTTAAGACGAGATTTCTGGATTACATTGTGAACCTGAAGGTGTGGGCATGCACATGTCTTAAAAGTTAGGAATAATTTTGGGGTGAGAGTACCAAGTTGTCAAAGAATGAAGCGAAGTCGCGTTAGCTTCAGCTGCGTCCCCCATACAGTTCAAGCTGGTGCCCAGCCCTTCAGTTGTTACTAAACAGACATCGGGCTGTGGGGAGATATTAGGTAGTCGACATATAGTGAGGTTATAGGTTTTTTGTGTCACTGAGGGCAGACTATCCATTATGTGAAATTTCAAACGGTTTAGTTCTAAACCGTTGCACATTCCCCGATCAATGTAAGATATTTTTGAAGCCTCTTTACTATCTATGGACCTCCAGATTTTGCATCGTCTGTGTGGATCACTGCCTAAGAGATGAATAATGAACACCAGGAAGTGCAGAGGGCTTAAGATGGTCACCAGTAAGAAAACGGTGTTGAAACTCATCAGGTTGCGTGCACTCTATTTATCTCGGTGCAGAACTTTCTATTTTTAACGTAGTTTCATGGCCAAGTTAGAAGTGGATCAGTTAGGTTCATTTTCGCAATCTTCGCAATTAGAAGTACGTCAGGTTATGTGCCGAAGGCTTTTGCTACGTCAAAAAACATTATGTAGACAGGTATTCTTCTGTCACAGAAGGTTTTTCAGCCATCCCATGTTGTGAGAAGATTGGATGCACACGACCTGCCTTTCCGAAACCAGTGTTCAGCTTCATGGAGGATTTTGTTCTTATCCATGTAATCCCTCATTCGCTCATTCACCAGCCATTACATTAGCGTCGATATTAATGGCAGTAACGTGAGTGGATCAGGGTGGATCATTCTTATCTCCTCTTTGAAGATTGGAGAGAGTATAGCTTGTGTCTATTCAGCTGGGAGTTGGTGTGACTACAGCGAATGCCTGAACAAGTCATATACCAGTGAATTGTTTCATATTCTGGTGACTGTAGATGGATTTTCTACCGTAGCGGTTCAATTTGTTTCCAGTAAGTGTAAGTCGAACGCACCCCTCTCCTAGGCCAATATCAGAACACAATGATTCTAGGAGAAAGTAGTCTACATTATGTTAAAATGGAAATACAAACCAATACCTGACTTTCGATACACTTTCCAAGTCCCAATTACTCTGATGAGTATCCAAGTTCAAAAAGAATAAGTGATGCTAGATCCAACCGCAACAGTATCAAATCCAAATATGGCTGTAGCCATATTATATCAAATTTAAACAACATATGTACAGTTCAGAAGCAAACATAAAAACTTCAATATAAGTACAAAATATAGAAATAATAACAATATACAATGATAAAATCTCAAATTGGAATCAAATAAAATACCAAAATGTCAACAGAAAGAGTCCGTCATGTCATAACAAATATATATAAACATGGAGGGATTTTCCAAAAAACAAAACATTCAAAAAAGATTCTACAGTGACCTTTCAGGGAGCAAGGATTTTACTTAGCTTAGTTCTAAACCCGGAGTAAGTCGGACATTCCTTAGGCCATCGGCTGATATTATGTTTGAGTAGTGCCCTGAACATACTTAGTTTAACTGATCCGTGAAGTTGGTGTTAAAGATCTCAGCCATCTCTAAGTTGGTAAGATCTGTATTTGGACCTTTGAGAGCAGCAACACACCAAATCGTAGGTTTTTGGTGGGTCACGAACCTAGACAGAAATTTTTGGCTCACCTGCATTTTGGAGGCTAGGCACATCTGGAAGTGTTCTGTCACTTCGAAATTCGGCATCACATCTGTTTCTCGATTCCTAGTAAGGATGACTGTCAGAATCTTTTAGAGAGATTTTCCACTTGTACCAGGCTTTCCTTGTTACCTGTAGCGACCGTTCATTGCCTTGTTTAGCCTAATTTCTTCTCTTCCCCGGTGTGAGATGTGCTTGAGGGTCATAGTTTGGGATGGCATTCTAGATTACGCCTCTCACCGTTGGCCAGAATCTTAATCTCAACCATTCTTGTTGTCATAGGACATGTAGTAGATATCTTCTCATGCACATGTGATTTTCCCTAGTTTAGCAAAGTGAGGCACGTTTTCTTCCCACCTGAGAGTTTCTTTTATGACCACTCTAAACAAGACTGTTCCATAGTCACTGCTTCCTGTTGGTGTATTGACGCGAGTATCCTCAACAAGGAGCTGATAATTTGTTAATAAATAATCCACGTTTGAGGACAATCCATTCTTATGCCATCTGTTGCCACTGCATACATACTCAGTCAGCCCAGAACTTTTAATAGTTGCGCTAAGTCGTCTTTGGAGCCAGTGATTGGGAATTGTACACTGTTTGTTGAGTTTTGGAGACGGAGTAATGAAATCTCCAGCTAAGAGTATTTGATCAAACTTAAGGAGTAGCAGTTGTAGTATCTTCTCAGTCAGTTTATCTCCCTCCAACCAATTATTGTGTTCCATTTGTGTTGAAGCAACACCAGTG